AAAAAAAAAAAAAAAAGAAAGCAAAGACTGATAAATCATGGCAATAAATGAGAATATGGCATATTAAAGTTTTAAGCCTGAAATAAAAGAGGAAACCGTATGTGTTTTAGAAATATAGACTAATAGGGCTGGGCGAAGTGGTTCATGCCTATAATCCCAGCAGTTTTGGAGGCCAAGGTGGGTAAGTCCAGGATATCAGGTGGATGACACAGCAAAACACCATCTCTACTAAAAATACAAAAATCAGCTGGGCATGGTGGCACAAGCATGTAGTCCCAGCTATTTGGGAAGCTGAGGTGGGAGGACTGCTTGAGCCTGGGAGGCAGAGGTTGCAGTGAGCCAATATTGCACCACTGTGGGAGGGGGGAAAGGGGGTAGGGGGAGGGGGGAAAGGGGCTGGGGGAGGGGGGAAAGGGAGAGCAGAGGGAAGGGGAGGGGAGAGGAGGGGGGAAGGCAGGCTGGCTAATAGCATAAAGCTGGAGACAAATTTCTGGGTGTTTTGTGAACACAGCTTTATTAAACAAGTTCATTATAAAGTAGAAAAGCTGGTACTGTTTTTGAGACAAAATGTTAAAACAACAGCAGCAGCAGCAGAATAAAAGAAAAAGGAAAGTGGGACAAATCTAAGACTTTACACATACCTGGGTCTAAAGGACATTCATTCAGTTTGGCAAATTCTGCTGGCGTTTTTCCTGTAAGAACACAGTTTGAACTACGTAACATTATGGGCATTCTGTATAAAATAAAACAAAAGAAAATATCACATTAGACTGTCATTGAATTGCAAAAAGATATAAAACATGCAGTTTTGTATATAAAACATAGACAAAAACATCTCACTAAGGGGTCTGTCTACATATATGTTAGAAAAGGCAGAGGAATAGCAATTACATGGAAGCCAAGCAAAAGTAAGTATTTTCTCAGGCATGCTGCTCATCTAGTACAGATGATAAAAACTCAGGCTGGGTGCAGCAGCTCATGCCTGTAATCCTAGCACTTTGGGAGGCCAAAGTGGGTAGATTGCTTGAGGCAATGAGTTTGAAAGCAGCCTGGCCAACATGGTGAAACCCCATCTCTACTAAAAACACAAATTTAGCTGGGTGTGGTAGTGTGTGCCTATAGTCCCAGCTACTCAGGAGGCTGAGACAGGAGAATCGCTTGAACTCAGAGGTGGAAGTTGTCGTGAGCTGGGATTGTGCCACTGCACTCCAGAGCGAGGCTCTGCTTCAAAAAACAAAACAAACAAAAAAGTCAAATGTTTGGTTTAAACTTTGCATACAGGCTTTAGTGAGAGTCAGAAATGACAGCAACAACTTCCCTCATGGAAGACAAAGTGATTTTCATCCGTTACTTGGAAATAGCACAATGCATCAAGGTGTACGGAATAAGAGGCTATTAAAACTAACCAGGCAGTTTGGGAAAAAGAACTAAGCAAAACTTACTAGAAATGGACATTTTAAGCACTGACTTAAAAATGTAGAAATAGGTTGGATAATAATGCATTTGACACTGCTGAAGATATAACTACTGAGTTAAAAAAGGCATCTGAAGAAATTATTGAGAATATATTTCAGAAAGACATAGAGATGGAAGATATGAAAGAGTGTTTAAGAGTCATGGAAGGATAGAGAGAGAACAACTAATAAACATCTAATCAGACTTCTAGATGGTGAAAATACACAGAATGGGCGAGAAGTCCTATTCAAAGAGATAATAGCTGTAAATTTTTAAAGACCTATGAAAGCCATAAATCCTCACAGTAACATTTACACAACATAAATAAAAAGAAAGCTACACCTAAGCATATCACAGTGAAGACACTAAACACCAAAACGAGATAAGATTTAAAGCCCAGCTTTAAAAAAAGGGAAGCTACCAAAAAGGGAAGGATGCCTGGAAGCACAATAACTTCACAACAATCAATCACAGAGCAATGTGCTCAAAGTCCTGAGAGAATATAATTGCCAACCTCTATTTGTTTATCCTGCTAAGTATTCACTCAGAATGAGGTCAACATAAGGATATTTTCAGACAAAAACTGAGGTAAGTTAATACACTAAATAAACTTCTAAACTTTATAAGACAATAACAATTTCTAATTTATGGGTTTAAAAAAACAAGCCAAAAACAGTGGCTCACGACTGCAATTCCCAATACTTTGGGAGGTCAAGGTGGGTGGATCACTTGAGCCCAGGAGTTCGAGACCAGCCTGGGCAACATGGTGAAACCCC